ACTTGGTGTTGTAAATTGTCAACTCTACATATCTTCATGCACATAATCTTTGGCCTTTATTGTTATCACTGACGCTTTGGTTTTGCGATCAAGGTGTTCTCATCAAGTAACGGTGCAGGCTCTCTATAGGCTTCAGAGTGCATTCTCTTGCCCGTCATTTCCAATATTGCTTTGGCTTCCGGATCCTGAAGATTTTGTAAATAACATCCTAGAGGACAATTGTTTGCTACCTACCTTATCTATCACCGATTTTTCACTTCGAGGAACTTCCTCATCTTGTAAAGGCTCTCTTGGTTTTTCTCCCACGCGCCAAACTTCTACATTCCTGCACTTTTTATTATGTAGACTTAATCAAATCAATCCGAAATTCTAAACTATACTTGATCACAAAGTGATCCGATCCAGACAAGTGACACTTTTCAAATGAACTTATGTTTGCGAGTGTAATTCCTTGCCCATACTCTTCATTTAAGAAAAACGGCCAGATATTTTCGTAGCCACCGATACCCTAGAACAAAAAGAACATTTTTCAGTAGCAAGTAGAAACCTAAAACGACCAACCAGTCCATTGGGTAGGCTGACTTGCTGACAGTTCAAATATGCATAGTTCTGTGTATGACCAGTTGCAGAATAAATCCGTATTTGTGGTTGAATTTCAAAGAGAAAAGAAGTGGCATCGCCATGGTACAATGGACCCATGTGAAAACCTGTACAAGGTGATTAATCAGTCATTGTGGAGATGAGCAGTGAGGGAAACCGCAAATTAGCGATACGTCAAGTCAAAAAGTCATTCACATTTGGGAACGAGCAATAAGTATTTTAGATCGCACTTAAAAGCCGTGATTAAATAAGTTCGGGTTACGGGTTAGATCTTCGGGGTTGTCTCTCTCGGCTTTGCTTCGCATTCGCGAGTGTATTCTCTGGGCATTTTCAACCTTTTCGCTGCTAAAGGGAAAGTGCTCGGAGGACTGTAGCGAATGCTGCGCAAAATCCAAGCAGCAAGCCGTTGGACTGTACAAAGTAGACAAGGCTGTGCAGTCTATGGTCAAAAGTTGCTTACTTTGTGCAAGAAAGAAAA